ATATTTCTTTGGCAAGTATTGTCAGTAGATGGCTATGCTTTAATTCCAATGTTTATGTGATACATAACCTATTTACTAACTCAGATTATTTATTCAGCTCGATTTTGGGAAATTTATTAAACCTTTAAAAACACACATACTCCCAATAAATGTCTATTTATGTCTTTTCTCAGTCGAGTTTAGTTTACATTTTTTAATTTGTCTATTATTGATATGTTAAAAACTTGTTTAATTTCTAATTTTATAAATGCCTCAAACAAAAAAATATAATTTAATGAGATTCTTTTCTTTGTGATACCTTATATTTTTATTTAAAATTATTTATTCTAATTATTTTTTTATTTTTTTTAAGTTAAAAAGTTAGGTTACACGCTAAAATTAGCTAAAAAATTAATTTCTTTGATACCAATAAACGATTTATTGAGTAGCAATAAATCATTTGTTAAATACTACTAAATATTTATTTGGTGGAACTAAATGGGTTTTAATAAACGATTTAGTACCTATTACTAAATATTTGGTAATGAAAGGTTTGTTACTAAATCATTTAGTATCTGTTACTAAATCTTATTAAATAGAACTAAATCCTCTTCTATCAGTGTGTACATGGAAAAATGTGTGCCTAAACCCTGATAGCCACCTTAACTCAAACTTTTATTCAATCTACTGCCGAAATTTGTAGCCAACTTGATGGAAAGAGTTTGCAAACCAAACGGTTTTAGTTAAGTTATCTATAAGTTACTCTGCAACTTGACATCAATAATTGTAGTGCAAGTATTTTAGTCAAGTTGTAGTAAAGTTGAAAGAAAATTCAACCAAAAGTTTGGTGTTAACTTGTATTCAAATTGTGGACGTAGATTTTCGTCAACTTGTTTACAACTGTTGTACTGTAAAGAATTACCGCAAACTTGATGTTAAGTTAGCTGCAACTGCTGAAACCCAACTACTTTTAAAAAAAGCGCGGCTATCAGTAAAGTTCCAAAAACTTTTCAGTGAACGAAATTCAAGAAAAAATTTTTTCGCCTTTGCAGCTGGAAATGTATTCAAAAATTTATCAAAAAGATAAAAAGGAAGTAAAAAACATGACACTGGGGAAAGTTATTACAGAACTTTCATAATTTTTACGACTTAAATTATTAAAAATCATAAAAAGAGTTCCTAAGCAAAATAGGATGCAGAGTTTCAGCAAAAGAAAACAGTCGACTTAAGAAAAATTTAACGCCGGGAAATGTTTTTGAATAATTTTTGTAGTTTCCACGATTTGAATAAATTACTCAGTTAATTATTGTTTCATCGATGCGGTTTATGTGAATAGTTTTTTTGCATTCTTTGTGTTATTGCACATGAGAAACAAAAATAAAATTGATTAACTTCTCCGAAAATAAATTTCAAATTTCTTTCAATTTTTAAATACTGACCCATCTGGGCGCCAGATTCCTCGAAATTTTCGATCTAAAATTTTACATCTTGTGGTCATCATTATTTTGAAAGAATATCTTGACAATAATATAATTTTCCAACGCAGTTACGGTTGAAAAAGAATACCCACACTATTTTATGACGATAAATAGAAATATACTTATTACTGTACTCTTAAGCACTTGAGACTTGAGCACCCAATTACTAAAAATCATATTTTGAATAAAGAATGTAGAAGTAGTCACTCGTGAATTTGAATGAAAAGTGTAGGACGAATCTAATGGGATATAAGTATGTTCAGTATTATATCTGAGTACAACTACTCGCATTCTTATGTAGTACATGTATTTATATTTATATATGTATGTAAAAGAGTATGTAGAGTGCACACGAATAGCGTACGGAGGCTCGCCTGAAGCCATGTAACAACCTACATTTTATTTACTGCACTTTTACTCACCGGCCGTACACACGGCCTTGCTTTGGCCTGAATATCGCGCTTAGTTCTACTACCTCCTGTATACGTCTTCGTCGCACCTCTCCGCGAGTCCTTTCTCCTTACCTAGCCTCCTATCCATCGATATTTTATCCGTCAATACTGCTAATTATTTCCTCCCACACTTTTTTTTAAAACGGGCATCAGAAAAAATCAACTACACACAAATTTGAAAACAGCAACCCTAAGATTAACATCTTTGGTGATTTCTATCTTCGTAATTAATTTTTCCAAAAAATGGGTGATTAAAAATAATAAATTAATTGTTTTTTTTTTTTTTTTTTTTTTTCGTGCATGCAAACAGGTCCTTGAACTCAATTTACGAATACTGACCTGGTATTTTATGCCATGTAAAGACGTTATTCTTATAGGTAATGCCTGTGTGACTGATGAGTCGAATTTATTTTTTATTTTATTCATCATTTTTTTTTTTATATTATATTGATTGTTTTTCTTTAATTAATTCAAGATTTATTTAATTTCAGGAAAATTTTTATAATTTTGATATTAAAAAAAATAATAATAAGTAGATAAATAATTGTAATAACAATTTTTGAAAAATTTACATCCACAATTTTCTAAAAAAGAAAAACGTTTTGAACAATTTTGGCTCGAAAAAAGAAAATTGTTATTCTTGAATTTGTTTAAAAAAATTTGAATTTAATTTTTTTTTCTTTACTTTTAAAATGACCTCTAGTAGCAAGGAGATTCATCGTGAGAGGCTTTTACCAGCGAAAGTCACGTTGGATTATCTGTCGGACGTGTAACACGTCTCTCGCCAATGGACGAGTAAAAATTTATTTATATATACATATATATATATATATATATATATATATATATATATATATATA